CAGCTAAGGGCCACTCACTGGAACTTTTTTTCTGCCTTTTAGACAAACAGTTCAACCTTTGATCTTAAATCTTTTCTCCAGGAGAAGCTTTGAAGTTTGACCATCAGGCCGGTTTAGTGAAGCCAGCTTTCCAGCAGTGGCTTCAGTGGAGCTCTGAGGTGACTGACAGCTGAGGTCTGTTAATAATTAATATTTATTCAGGATTGTTTTGATCAACCATCTTGGACTGAATACATCTTTATAAACTGACTCTTCAACTTTCAGTTGATTTAAAAGCTAGATTTCCCTGGGATCTGCTGGGACACATGATTCACAAAGATCCAAATAAAATGTTTAATGAGGAAAAACAGTTCAAACAAAAAGCTGAAAGCCAGAAATAAACAAGTCCTCCATCTTTCATAACCAGCAGAGTGGATCTAAACCTCAGCTGCTTCCTAACTTTAACCAAAAGCTACATTTATAACAATAACAGTTTTTTCCTCACCACCGAGTCCTTTACTGTGGTCTGGAGCTCCTCCGATCGTCTCTTCTGGCTCATCATCGCGCTCAGCTGCTTGCTGTTTGTTTACCTCATTCTGGGCTTCAACCACCTCCTTCTCCTCCTTCTCCTCCTGCTCCTCCTGCTCCTCGGACGTTTTCTCCAGACCCAGCCACGTCCCGAACCCTTTAAACATCCTGCTCCGATAAAATAACAAACCAGGAGAACAAACAAATATCACAAAAGGGACGCTGGCTACGAACACAAACAGCACAAAAAAAATGGGTTTGATGCAACCAGGAAGAAATGCGTCATCAGAGTTCTTCTTCTCTGTGGAATGTGTGGCGGTGGCTCGGTACTGCCGCCCAGTGGCCACAAGACGGTAATGAGATTTGTTTACTTCCTTATTACTGCAACCTAATAAATCAGAAAATAATAATAATAATAATAATAATAATAATAATAATAATAATAATAGTAATTATACTATTGTTATCATTATACTACAATAATAATAATAATTATTAATACACTTTATATTGTAAAAATAAAGCATAGATTTCTTATTTATGTGTCTTATAACAAGACAGAAGTGGGTAGTAACTACTTACATGTATTGAAATTGAAAAAAAAAAGTTGGGAGTAGTTTTAAAGCACTGTAATACTAATAAAAAATAAAAAATAATAATAATCGTCAACTGTCATTATTATTAATCTAATAATAATAATTCTTATTCTTATTATACTATTATTATTATTATTTATTCACTTTATATTGTAAAAAAAGAAGCATAGATGTCTTGTTGATGTATCTTACAACAACAAGACAGAAGTGGTTAGTTATTTTTACAGAACTTTAATACTTTATCATAAAAATATGAAAAAGTATCTCTAATTTCTGCCACAATCTGAGTAAATTTACCAAATGAAAACAGGCTTGTTTTAAACAAATATCACTGAGAGACACATTTCTTTCTCTTTTGTTCAAAAGTCATTTTTGTGTAAATACAGCAAACAGTGTACTGTAATTAAACATATTCTTACATACGGTAACTATTGATATTGGAAGTTCTACATCTCGAAAAATGTATTTTGAAGACTGTATATTCCATTAAACTTTTTAATGGGTAAGTATTATATGTTACATTTTTTTTTATTTTATTCTCAAAATTGTCCTAACACGTGGGATTAACACGTGGGATTTTTTTTTCATTTTTACATTAGTTTGCAAAATATTGTATAAGTTGTCGTAGTAAGATCAGTTACACAGTATTTGAGTAATAAAATACTTTCTTTAAAGGCTACTTTTTACTTTTACTTGGGTAAAAAGATGATAATATAGTTCTACTTTTACTCTAGTACAATTTTTGTGTACTCTACCCACCTCTGATTAAACACAATTTCAGTAAAAAAAAAAAAAAAAAAAAAAAAAAAAAAAAAAAAAAAAAAAAAAAAAAAAAAAAAAAAAAAAAAAAAAAAAAAAAAAAGGAAGAAACAAAGAAAGAAAGAAACGGTATAAAATCTGTTTTTACCCACCAGGGGGCGGTAATTAGCAGAAAACAGGTGACCATCCACAGCGCGAGGAAGATGAAAGCTTCCTCAGCCATCGGCTTGATGACTGACAGATAAGGTTGGTTTCGCTGTCATTTCCCTTGTTTTCATTTCTTTTATATTGTTAAATTATATCATAATACAAATATCTGGTCTATCCATTACTGTAAACTATTAAATGTTACCAATTTAAATTACCGACACATGAATTTACCGGGTTTATTTGCCACTGAACCCTGTTGAACCAGACTTCTGTTTAAAAATTGGTCATTTTATTGTCAAAACAGTTAAAGTGAGTTTTTATGGACAAATAAAAAAAAAATAAAATATGATAATGATTAATGAAAATTAGGTTTTCCGATCGGCCAGAAAGATTCAGTGATTTAAGTCGTTTTATCGAGTTTCTTTCTGTTTCGATTTGTTTTGACATAATAATTCAGTTCAGTAAAGAGCAGGTCATAAATGTTTCTGTCCTCCGAATGAAATATTTTTGTTTTTTGGAAGCAGGTTGTTTGAAAAGTGCTGATAAAAAGTAAAAATGAAGATTCTGATGGTGTTTGACTTTGATCACACTGTGGTGGATGACAACAGTGACATCTGGGTCATCAGGTAAGTCATAAAAGTTTTATTATATGTCATCAGAACATGGGGAAGTTCATGAACTTTTTTTTCATTATTCATTTTGCCTGGATTTTAGGTGCCTTCCAGGTCAGACTCTTCCGGATTCTGTGAAGCGTTCCTACAGGAGGGATCATTGGACCGAGTACATGGGCAGAGTGATGGCCTACATAGGTTAGAATGATGCACTGTTTTATTTGGGCTTACAGAGACATGGGCTGTTTCCCAATTCACTAGAACACGAGTACGGACTCGGGTTCTCGCCCAGCACGTTCTGGAGAAGAACACAGGAAAGCCTGGAATGTGGAAGAATGGGAGCACGCAGCATAATATGGAAGAGAAGCGTACTGATGACATCACCACACGCTCAGCTCGTCTGGAGCTGCATTTCACCTCATCTTATTAATAGTCTCTAGATAATAATAAATTCTGATTTTTTTCATTTATTGGGGGAATAATGATGAACACAGTCAGAAAAATATAAATCAAATGAACATTTTACCAAATAAAACAAAAAACTCGCCATCAGAGCCAGCGGTCCTTCACTGCAAAAACGATCTGGAAACGAGTAAAAATGTCTTAAAATTAGTGTATTTAGCATAATTCAAGCAAGTAAATACTAAGATTTGCCAATGGAATATGTATTTCTAACTTTAAAATAAGATAATTAGATAATATCCACCTGGAATAAGACAACGCTATTGTTTTTTTTAATTTTAGATGTAAATTGCCTTATTCCATTGGCAAAGTGTATCACTTAACTGCTTAATTCAAGAAAGAAATGCTCTTTTTAAAGAAAAATAAACTTACTTAGATTTCTATTTTTTGCAGTGTTCACACACGGCTGGCTATGCAGAGAGAGCGCTGCTGGAGGCTACACTGGAAAAACGAGAAAAATAAGCAAAAATGTCTTAAATTAAGTGTATTTACCCTTAATTTTAGGAGATAAATGAGATAGTTTGGCAATCAAATTAGTATTTTTACTCTTAAAATAAAATAATTAAATAATATGCACTTCTCTTTTCAATCCAAGAACAAATACACTTATTTTATGAAAAAAATTAGTTATCTAAATTTCGATTTTTTTTTTTTCAGTGTAACGTTAGCCGTGGCTGCTGCAGACGGGCTAACGTTAGCCCTTTGCTGTTACCCTCGGAGGTCTGCTGGTTGCCGCAGTCCTCTCAACTTTGGAATTTTTTTTTTTAATTCTTCATTAAATCAGTAAATGGGCCATATAGGGACGCTTTAAACTATTGATGCACGATATTGGGATTTTGGCCGATATCCGATATGCCGATATTTTAAAACTCATGTAGCCGATAACCGATATCGACGGGCTAACGTTAGCCCTTGCTGCCATTACCCTTGGAGGTCCGCTGGTTGCTGCAGTCCTATCAACTTCGGAATTTTATTTTTTAATTCTTCATTAAATCAGTAAATGGGCCATATAGGGACGCTTTTAATTAGGGATGCACGATATTGGGATTTTGGCCGATATCCGATATGCCGATATTTTAAAACTCATGTAGCCGATAACCGATATCGATATCGAAGTTTTT